CAAAATCAAATCTTATACTGCAACTTCGTAGTCATAACTCATATCTTAATTAAACAATAATAATTTACTTGTAGATTATAATTCATTTCATCTGGTCAACTTGCTAACTAGTATGAGTACATGTTTGGTTGTTTTTCTCTCTCTATTTTCTGCTTGTATTAATCTATTTAATATGTTGTTTGTTAATTTCTTTTCATATTTTGCTTGAAATTTGAATATAAAAAAAATGAAAATACATATAACATGACCATGATGACCAGAACAATTATATATTAATTTCAGTTTTACTGTCAACATTTTAAAAAGAAGAAAATCACTTATTCATATAATCTGCAGACACTTCATCGCAACTTAGATAATGATTTATATGTATTTTAATGATACATGCATAAACACACAAAAAAATAATCTAATCATACCTACTTCTAAATGTAAAATCCTTTATATTGTGATGACTGATGAGGACAGGCAAAATTGGGTACCATTCTCTAGAATGAAGAAGAATAATAAATGATTAATTTATGTAACATGTTTTATTTTAACTCACAATAGGTCATACATACAATGTACATGCAAGTGCTGAGTGAGCTTATAATACCTTATTATACACAGTCAGGTCCAGTTCAATCAGTACATTTAGCTACGTAGCTAAAATTACCTACCATAGCTTTATTTACCTACCTCAGGTAGCTTTATTTAGCTATTTCAAGGCAACTTTTCACAATTTTGTTTTTTTATTTTAAAAAGACAAAAAGTCGCAAGAAAATGTCTACTAATATTTATTCTAGGTATCATTTTAAAAAGCAATCTAAAGCAGAGATAGTTTTAACATTGCTGCATTTGATCACTTTTAAGGAAAATATATATTACCGTTGTTTGGGTAACTGTACACACCTTGTGCGCGATGAGGCGTGGATAAGTATGATTACTTCACATTGTGCTCATGTTAACCAAAACTGGTTTTCTTTGTTATTACACTCAAGAAGTAACTGTTAGGTCACAAATTAACTGTTGTGTGTAGCCCCAAAACTTTTAGAACTCTGATTGCAATTGCGCAAAAAAAGACACATCTCCAAGAATGATTTTTTCATGAATTGTTTTCAGATGAGTTCAAAGTTGAAAATTAGCACTGCATCAAAGTGCAATTTTCTGCACTTTCTGGGAAAAATTCTTCTTTAAGAAATAAGTTTGATTTAGTAGCTAAATAAAGCTACTTCAGGTGGGTAAATAAAGCTATGTAGGTAATTCAAGCTACGTAGCTAAATCTAGTGATTGTACCAGACCTGACAGTAGCATAAGAAATGATCATGATGATTCTGCATTTAATTATTTTAAATTGCAATCAGATAAGAAAAAAATATTTTTTAACCACAGTAGGGAAATGATTTTATTGCAATAACAAACTGAAAAAGGTGTAATACATCTGATCATGTGACAAAGTATTTGTAAATATTTAACCCCCCTACCCGTCCCCTTTCTACACAACCTCTTTTTTCCGCATCCGATTTGATGTATCTATTATTCTTGTATATTACAATAGAACAAAATTTTAATAGTTCAAGTCATTAAAACATTGCTTAAAGGGAGAGATATGTATAAACATGCACACATTTACAGTGTGTAATATACTTACATGATCTTGCACCAAACAACTGCGATTATGATCTGTTATAGTCCGCCGCTGACGGTTCAAGTGGAATTATCCAGACAAACAGAGCACATTTAACAGAGAAACATGTTATTGAACTGTTACACAAGTAGGAATCGAGTTAATCATCCAAACATGCTGAAGAAATACGATCTTTTAATGTCCGATCTCTTCTTTGTTTACATGCTAAACTTCTTCCACGGTTTCGTTCACGGTTAGATCGTACGCCATATTACTCGAAGGTAATAGAATAAATGTGTGTTAAGAAAAAAAAATTATTTTCTTTTGTGATTTTATAAATATTTCTTTTGTAAACGTTTTATGTCCTTTTGCGTTTCTGTAATTTATTTTGAAATATGAATTAACCTTTACTCCAATCTGAAGGCTGTAGGATACATGATAGGATAGGATAGGATAGGATAGGATAGGATAGGATTGGATTAACTACTATATGTTTCTATCGTGAATCCTCAATCCTGAATCCTATCCAATCCCATCCCATGTCAACTTGTCGGATAGCAGCACTGTACCAATATCTGTGAAAATAAGCTATTTTCTACTACTTCCTGTTTGGCCGGAAGTGACGTCATTCGACGTATTTTGATGATCTTGCAAGCTGCTACTTGTCATGTTGAACAACTTGGCTTCTTTGAAGTATTACAAATTCTAAATACTTTTTGAGATATCAGGAAAAATATTTTGGCCCCTTTAGATTCCTTATTTTAGGGGCCAGCCCTTTTTTCGAGATATCATTTAAAAGATCTTATAATTTTGCACAAATTTTATTATATATGTTTTAACAAAATATTTCCAAGTAAAAAGATATCGTACAGAAAGTGTAAGAAATTTTGAAACTTTCGATACGGCTTTTTTCAGGCCATAGCGAGCGTAGACGTGTGGCACTCCCGGTGAAAGTTAACTACGTATTACAGATCTACATATATTGCTATGTCTTCCCTAAAAGTTTCATGTTCCTGTGATGAGTAGTTTCTTAGAAAACCTGCGGACAAACTGACCCTCCAAAAATCACTAAATCGCAAAAATCTTCGGACCGGAAGTGACGTCATCAAAATAAAAAAATATGTATTAAGATTTTTTAATGTTCTATCAGACCTGAAAGTTTCATGAAAATCGAGCGAACCGTTTTCGAGAAATCGCGTGCACAATATCGGTAAGAAAAAAATAATAAGAAAAACAGTGGAAAAGAAACCTAAGAATAACAAGAAGGTCTTCCGCTGAAGACTGAAGACCTTAATAATCTTAATCATCACAATCAGTAGAAGGTCTTCCGTTGGAAACGGAAGACCTTAACTAAGGCAAGTTAAAGATATTCTATATCTACATAGATATTGCATAAATTATTCTTTTAATTATCATTCCAGGGGAATAACCTTTATGTACCCATTTCTTCCACTAATAAAGTTCTTGAAAGTTTCAAAAGTTCCATGTAAAATCTTTATAAAATGAGTCCTGTATGAACAATTTATGTCATTAATCTAAAGTTTAATATTTTAAAAATATTAAATTGATTTTAGACCAAAATATTCCTAATGGCCAACGCCTATACTGTTTGAAATTCATAAAAGAGAAAATGCTCAGTAGCCTAAAATGGGGGAGAGGTAATTATAAAAAAAGCAAAAACAAAACAAAAACAAAAAAAACAAATTCATGTTTTGAGTTGATATAAACTTAAATATAGATTTCAGGATAGAGGTATTTTATACATTTTTATTCAGATTAATCAACAACAACAAACTGTCCCACACGTGAAATATATCCCATGTCCAAACCATTAATATCACTTTATCTACTTATATATCAATTGATCAAAATATTTAGTCATCTATATTTACATTTTATTTGTTTATGGATTAAAAAAATATGTGGTAATATGTGTCCTTACTCTTTATTATATGCCATAAATCATAAAGTAATTTATCTTTATTAAATACCCGGTTTTACTGCACTGAATGCGTTCAAGCAATATCGAGTAGTACAAATGTATCGACTTGTCATTTAAAAGCGGCAATGGTGGATAGAAAGTATAAACACTAGACCTACATGTAGCCATGTAAATTTATAATGCTGGTAAGTCAAGTAACACTTGAAGTGTAAGTGTTCATTAGCAAATTCAGGAAGTTATGGGGAATCCCTCAGATTGTTGTATATTTTTATTCAGTTTGTTTTAATTTTTTGCAAAATAGTTCAAGTATTTTCTACTTTCGTTTCAATATTGCCTAATCATTGGATACATAACTTATTTCATTTTGAGAATTTGAGAGTAATGGTAACGTGAAAAAAGCGGATTATTTCCTGTTTGGATATGTTACTGAATATTTCTTGATGCATTTGTCATACTGATTATATGTCTACTTTCGTTTTGAACCAAAGATTCACAACAGGATCCACTCTGTGGAGAAAATAGAGAAAATTTACCAGGAACGGGTTTGATTTCTTTTATTTTAAATCTTAAAAATCTTATATCTATACCATTTGTACCTTAAAAAAAAAAAGCTTCTTTTTGTTTGAAATGTTCATCTATCACAGTATTTGCTTGATCAACTTCTAGTATCGTCTACTCTTTTTGCATAATTGGAGACATCGAATAATGTTTAACTGTTGCCATGGAACAGAAGGTCGTTGTCATTCTTGTGGTGCTGGTCTGCAATATCAAATTGGTACTTAACTTTTTTTTTCTTTAACAAAAAGAATGGTTTGAGTGCATAAAAGAGACATAAATAATCATTATAATCATTAAAAAAAATCATAAATAGAAAAGAATCCGACATTTACTCTACAAGCACAGTACTACTGCAGGTCTTTTTCAGTCCTGGGCGTCAGAGTTGTTTTGTATTTATCATCCTTCTATATTCCTTGAACTTGTATGTGTCTTATTGCTTTCCCGTGCCCATTGTGAATTCTATATTTCATTCTTCTGTTGAACAGATAAAGATGAATGTGTCCTATCGTTTTCCTGTGTCCATTGTGAGTTCCTGTCCATCAACACTCCAGGCTCGCGATTCTGCCTCCGCCAGATTAAAATGTCTTAGATATCAAAATAATAAGACTTCATATTTCTGTGTTCCCAATCAAGAGAAGACAGAATTACTGGAATTCTGCTACGACGAATTCCTGGGACTTGTCCAAAATGGCAAGTTTATTCTTTCAAATTTTATATTTCAATACATCCATCAAGTTACTTTTCTTTTTTAATCCCAATGATAATTTTGAGTTTATTCAACTTCTAATTCTAATTTATACAAACATATGTATTTGTATTTATGTACATGTATATATGATAATGTTTCCAATCTTTATATTTTATTTATGGCAAAAAACAATTATAATTCAAGGATACTGTTTACACCTGGCGACTTCTGGATACCTGAACCAGGAGAACTGCAGTTCCTTTGTGGAGGGTTGTCCGGACAAGCCGTACATTAGTGACGACATTTATCTGTGTACGTCTGCATTTGAGGCTAAATTAAATTCAACCCCAAACAAGAAAAACGAAATCGACGAAGCATTAAAATGATATACTTTTAAAGTGGACATGAAATAATTATGAATGAATAAGAAAATTATTCCTTTTAATCCTAAAAAAAAATGGCTAGCATAAATTTTATATTAAATTCGCATGAAATATTCATGTGAGTCTTTGCATGAGAAAGAGACCCAAAACAAGACACATGAAGTTTATGTGAAAACTTCATGCAATTTAGACATAGCTTTCATAAAAATTTTACATGGAGAGAATACCGCATAAATATCGTGAAAAGAAAAATTCACATGATAGTTTGAAAAAAAATTTTGTGAATATCTTACGAACCAATTCACATGATATTTGCATAAAAATATTTATATAATGTTTAAATAATTTTCGCATATTTTTACAATAAAAAGAAATCAAATTATTCTTATGTGAACCACTTTTTCCTGTATAATTCTAAAATATTTCAACATATATGAGTAAAATATGAATGGAAAGCAAAAATCGAATTTAAAGAATTATAAAAAGTTATATGCAATTTGAAATGCGATCTTTTCATCTCACAAATAGATACTCGATGCCAACAGATAGACAAGATAAAACGTTGTTTTCTTGCTGATCCAAATTGTATACAGAGGTATGATATTTTTATTTAATCATAGAATACACAAGATATTGGGCTAGGTTTTGTTTTCTTATTGTACTGATTAAGTATGACTACAGAATACTAGTATACTAGCTTTCTACTGAGCTTTACCATTCATATGAGTTTATATGTATTTCACATGTATAATAATGCAGCTCCTCGTTGATTCCTACGACAACATATGAACATAGTTCACCGAATACGTTCCATGTGTCGCCCAATGTGTTCAACGCCTCATCTTCCACTCAATCCTTCCCTACACCGGACGATGACACCAGGCTATCCGGGAGTCTGTGGGCTGTTATAGTACTTGTAGTGGTTGCTGCCCCTGTATTTGTAGTCGTAACACTTATATTCTACAAGCGATGGCGAAAACAATCTGGAGGTCATAAAATGGAATCTGGCGCTGAGGAAAGAGGAATTTTGCTTCAAGGTAAAGCATAGAATTAAAACCAATGACTTAAAAGCAGAATATATGTAGTCTTATAAAATGTTTAAATGATATCACATTTTTTAAAAAGAAATCATTTGAAGTACTTGAATTGTTGTACGCAACTTTAATGGTTTAGAAATTGTTTGTATGTATGTTTGTTTGTTTGTTTAACGTCCCTCTCGGGATTTTTTTTACTCATATATGGCGGCGCCGATGGAGGGCTACACATTTTGACCTATACTCGGCACTCAGGGCAATTGAGCAGTAAGGGATCTTTTTAGTGCAAGCACCAACTGCGACACGGGACCTCGGTTTATACTGTCTCATCTGAAAGACCGGTCTCCACGTCCCACAGTGGGATTCGAACCCGCGACGTAAGGATCAACTCCTTACTCCGCGATTCTAGAGCAGACGCTCTACCACTGCTCTTCGTAGGCGATAAATGGTTTTAAAATATTTGAAAATTTGTGGTGTTATTACATGTGAAGGGATGTGGATGTCCCCCGAAATACTAGTAGTGAATACGCTTTTGTGTTGATTAGATACTGAGAAATACTGCTAATGCTCAAGGACTCTAAACTTAATATTCTGTAAAAAAAAAAAAAAAAAAAAAAAAAAAAAATCACTGTAGAGTACTTCCTAGAGAACAATATTTAGTTTTAAAACAGTCTGAATTTTCTAGTAATACCTTTCATCCACAACTTTAAGAGTATTTCAATGTCTTTGATGTTTGTCAGGTTATTCTGTTTTAATGTTTCATATAACGCAAAACCAACTCACCAGTATTGTCAGTCCATGTTCAGTGATGTGTGCAGAGTTTAACAAATTGAACACACCTGGTGGAACGTTAACTTTTTTGTAAACAGGGCACACGCTCTGTTTACGTTTCACCGGGTGTGTTCAATTTGTTTAACTCTGCACGCATCACTGAGCACGGACTGACAAAACTAGCGAGTTGGTTTTTCTTTCTCACATTTCTACTCTAAATTTTCTGGATTATATCTTTAATTTTTTGGCATTAATACATAGCAAAATTTCTACTTTTTTAAGTATTAAGGATAAAGTTTACTTTGTGAAAGTGCAAGGATGTGTCAATCAAACGTGTCCCGAAATTCGTATTTTTAATAATTTCCAGATAAAATAATTTTTTTTTATATTTCCGTGTGAAATGATATAACAACATATAAGTCATGATATAATACAGAAAATTTGAGAAAATGTTAACTTCAAATCTGTGTCTATGCACCTTTAAATCATTTAATAAGATTATATTGTATTTCATTTCATATTTAGGTGGACTACAGGTTTACATTAATTTTGTTTGTATTTGCAAAGCTTACTTTTTTTCTTTGATGGACAATATAAGGGGAAAATAGATTGAATTGCAATATAACTAGGGCTCTTGTCGCTTTTTAAGAATAACCCAGCGACTTTGCAGAACAGTTTTAAATCTTAATTTTGTAATATTAATTTTGGAAAAGATGTTAATTTGTCATCGTATAATCGAAATTAAATCCTTTTTTTTTACTCCTTGGATATTTTTTTAAATGCCTTGATGCTAATTTCTAGTAAGCTACCAATATCATTATTCTTTAACATTCAGAGAGTGTAATAAGGCTCATTGAACTGTGGATTTTTTAAAACTTTTTAATTTATTCAGTATAAAGATTCGGTACAGAAGGGGCTTATATGTGTAAATTCACAAGCGTTTTCCTCCGACTAATCGCCATAAATGTTTATTTTAAGAATATTTAATATTAAATTTGAAATATATTTTAAATGTAAACAAGATAGAACTCTAGCAATTGTGATATGCTATTTTTAGAATGATCAATATACGTATTGTAGACTTTCACTTTCTGTTATGGGGAAATGATTCAATCAGCATTTCTGAATATGAAAGTTTATTTTTAAATGTGCAATATTTATAAAGAGATCTGGTCGTTTTTGAATATATATATTTAGATTCATTTGTATATACTACATCAAATCAATTTTCTACATGCAAAACCTTTGTAAGCTGATAATCATATTGACCTTTGGTTCCAGTGTAGTTTAATTTTTGAACATTATTTTGTGTAATTAATTGTTATAAAGGAGAGGACGTTCTAAGTTTTAAGAACTTGTGTCCGATCCTTTGTTGTAACATCTAACAATAAAATGTGTTCAAGTCAATTGTGACATGTTGATCATTTGATCGATTAATAAAATGGAGTATTTTTCACATTTAAATATTGATGTATTACAAATGTAATTTTGCTAAATATTTTAGATTCAATAAATATATTTATTTCATTTACAGATGCAGATGATACTAGACCAGTAACTCATTCTAGTGAGTAAAATTATCCATATTGCGCCAATGAGTTTTTAGACAATTATATAATTTTTAGATTTCTGTGTGTATTTATTAGGTTTTTTTTTTTTCTTTTGGTTTATCATAAAATCATTAATATAATATTCATCTTTTTTATCATCATTATCATAATGTTTTTTTTTTTTGTTTTTTGTTTTTTTTTTTTTGGTTTATTATAAAATCATTAATATAATATTCATCTTTTTTATCATCATTATCATAATAAATAATTATCTCCAGAGGTCATTTCCTTTATGCTTTTTTATTTCAAATCTATTTCATTTCAAAGCTTACTCTTCGGCAGAGGCACATTGGCCACATCACCAAATGCAGCTTGCCGATGTTGAAGGTACGAATGTTTAGCACAGGTAGTGCAAATTGCTTTGTGAATATTTGTACAAACTATATAACTTGTTTCATGATAATTGGAAGGGGATAGTGATCGTGGGCAAGCAGTTATACTTGTGCGTAGGGACTTCATTTCGAGGGTAATTTTTTTAAACGGTAGATTTAATGCATTGAAATGTTGACAGATTAATTGTTCGTGGGGGTGTAAATTCGTTTTAAGGGTAACTTAAGTAATCCACAGACATTGGTCTTCACTAAGTGATGATTCCAAGGTAAATAAATCTAATAAAAATTTCATCTGTTAACTTAAAAAAATTATCCTCAATGGTGTAGAAAAGGGTTTAAGGATGTGAAAACAACAGATGTCTCAATTTTAACTCTTTTTATAAAATGTGAAGCTCATGGTATTTCTTTTAAGACTTATTCAGATTTATTGTATACATGAAGAATAACTAAGTCTCTGATAGAATTAGAATATGGTGATTATTTTCCTTAGCAATTTTTCAACTCTTTAAGTCGTAAATGATTCAGATCGTCTCCACAATTTGTTATATGCAGTTTTACTGACGTGTTTTATTGTAAATAAAATGTTCATAGTTGTATTTATCTATTTTCATACATGTATGTCTGTAGAATTCTTTCAGTAATGTTCATATACTTGGACATTTTTCATTTTTCTGAAATTGAAAAACTTTTTGGAAAGGGCGAACTAACAGTGGAAAATCTCAAAAAAACCTTTTAATAAAACAAACGAGCAGACTTTTCTCCAAAAACTTCTACATGAGAAGAAGAAAGTTCTTTCAATTCGATATCAAGATATATCCAGGACTTTCTATCAATAACAATATTCAGTTCTATTCATATCTAGATTTGATATATTGCAGGGAATGCAAAATAAACGACACCATAAAATTTGCAACACCTGCTTTTTATTTGTATGTCTTACTGAATATAAACAATAACATAAAAGTAGATAATTCAGGCTGAAAATTATTGGCCAACAATATTTATGAAAAACATCAGACGAATAGGACCTAGTTCAATAAAGACAATGAAGGTCGATCTGCAGATACTTATGTTTGAACAACATAATGTACTAATTGGTATTTTATTTAATTTCAAACGGTTTTATTTATTCTTCACAGTAATTAAATGTTATATAGCTATTATTTTAGAAGAATGGATGAAATGATAATTTTTTTAAAAAAACTTTATTTTTACGATCCTTATTTAGTGCAAGAGGACGGCGATAATTTACATATTCGAATTGCCACACACCATCCTCCAGATGATAATAATGTTAAATGGCAAAAAGACGGGGAAGACATACATACTGACACTGAAAAATACTTTCCATTTTGTACCGGTGGACATATTATTCTTTATGTTTACAACACAACAAGAATGGATTCTGGGGTCTATACAGCTTTATGGAAAGAGAAAGATGTAGATCACAAAAAAGGTTAGTAAAAGTTAAAGGACTTAAATAGGTCATATGCATTTTAGTGTAATAAAAGTTCAATAATATTGTTTTGTTTTGGATTTTGGACAAAAGCTTTGTGTATTTTTATGTTTTCAGATGTACCTTGGCAAAAAGGTCAAAGGATTTTGTATCATAGAAAGCGAGGTAAATGAATAATCTTGCAGCATCCTTTTATTATTATTATTATTATTTTATATATATATATATATATATATATATATATATATATATATATATATATATATATATATATATATATATATATATCTACTGAATAGATTCAAGGTCACTTATGGAAATTATATTAACACTAAAAATGACCAATGGCACGAACAATAAAATTTGACAAATTTTCGGGACGACCTGTCACCTCCTCGGGACAAAAAAAATGGTTTAAAGAGTTATGAAAGAGCAAAAAAGGCAAAATAAATAAAAACAAAAACAACTAGCACTACATTTTTACCTAGCTCATGTTCACAAGAGTTAGGCCAAAATGTTCGGTAATGACAATCAAGACTATTTCGTCCTTTTCGTGGTATAAACAAACTCATGAATTCAAGTCCTCCACGAAAAGTTGAAATATTTCACGACAACATCATCATTGTCAACCAACCATGAAATCAGTCCCCACAAAGGTTTTATATCAAACAATACTTTCTTATGCAGAATATATTTTATTATCACTTTTTTGAAATATTTCTTTAAAATTGAAAAGTATATTGAAGCATTTTATCTTAATTAATGTTTAGTGTTCACAATTTGTAAAATATTTACCAAATATGCATTTAATTATATGTTCGATTAAAAAGATAAGAAAATATATACAAAAAGATTTAAATGCTATATTTCATCAACTCATATTTTTTCCTTGTTTTGTCAAGACACAGAAAGAAGAGAGGTAACGGAGGTGTTGTTGAGGCAGTATGGTAACGACATGCGAATACGTGTGACTACAAATCATCCACCGTCAGATGTCACATGGTTTAAAGACGGAAAGAAAATAGAATGTTCTGAGAATCTAAACAAATACTTCGCAGTTGTAGGAAAGGACGAGGATGATAAACATTTCTTTCTTTACATTTTCGAATCAGAACTGGATGATTCTGGTTCCTACAAAGCTTCATGGACAGAAGTTGAAAATGGTATTACGTTAAAATGTGAAAGCTCCGAGGCCAGAATTCGTAAGTAATCGATTTTAAATCAGAGCAAAATTCACACACTAAGCTTGAACACGGGCATACTCACTTTTTATTCATTTTTCTTTAACGTGTATTTTAATTTCACTTCAATTTGTTCTCTTTTTTTGGTTCAAATACTACTTTTTGTTAATATTTAAGGATTATAAAATCCTATAAATTTAAGGAAAATCAGTATATTTTGAACCTATATGAGGCAAGCTTTTGACAAATAAGTTGATGATACAAGGGTACAGTCCCGTTTAAGTTCAACATTTTGCAAATACTATTATCTTGTTAACAAATACAATCTAGCGTTAAGTCGATTGTTCACTGACAAACAATTTAAGATATTATTTTCACACTGAATAGTCTACAAACTTGTCCGATCATGACAAGGAGCACACTGTGAGTGTGACGGTCGACGGGGGATGATTATTCTTTCAAGGCACGGGACTCCACCTCTGATGTTCTTGGAGGTCCGTCTTTGCTGTGTTTCAAATTTGTATTGTTCCAGTGGACTTTCGAGCTAGATTACTGTTCATCATCTTATTATTATATACTATCAGTATCTTAGTGTCTAGATCAAGATAAAAAAAAATCTTATTTTTATATGAGCTGAAGGACAGATGATACAAACACATTTTTACCAAAAATCTTGAAAATAATATCTTAAGTCATGTTTGGATAGTTAAAATGAACAAGTATAAAGTTATACATTTTTATTTTTCATTCAAAGTTTTACAAAAATGGCTTGTATAGTGACAAGAAGTTGTAAGGATTGATAAGGATGGTTGCAGAAAAGTAGAATTGTGAACATCAAAGAAAGTTTACAATTTCTTAATATTTCAGAAATTTATTATTCGCATCTTTTACAATCAAAATAGGTTCAAAAATATATACCAATCGAGGCATCTATTTTTTAGCTCTACTGGTCAGAGACCAGAAGAGCTTATGCGATAGTAAGGTGTCCGTCGTCCGTCCGTCTGTCTGTCTGTCTGTCTGTCTGTCTGTAAACAATTTTTCAAAATGCTACTCCTCCTACAGTTTTGGTCTGATTTCAGTATAACTTGGCACACAAGTAGACTACACTAAGATACATAATTCTGTGTATCGGTTTTTGATTTCGATGAACGGTGTTGCCATTGTTACTAAAAATAGAAATTTCTGTGAAAAACATTCAAAATGCTACTCCTCCTACAGTTTTGATCTGATTTCAGTATAACTTGGCGCGCAAGTAGACTATACTAAGATACATAATTCTGTGTATCGGTTTTTGATTTCGATGAACGGTGTTGCCATGGTTACTAAAAATAGAAATTTCTGTGAAAAACATTCAAAATGCTACTCCTCCTACAGTTTTTATCTGATTTCAATATAACTTGGCACACAAGTAGACTATACTAAGATGCGTAATTCTGTGTATCGGTTTTTGATTTCGATGAACGATGTTGTCATGGTTACTAAAAATAGAAATTTCTGTGAAATACTTTCAAAATGCTACTCCTCCTACAGTTTTTATCTGATTTCAATATTACTTGGCACACAAGTAGACTATAATAAGATACATAATTCTGTGTATCGGTTTTTGATTTCAATGAACGGTGTTGCCATGGTTACTAAAAATAGAAATTTCTGTGAAATACTTTCAAAATGCTACTCCTCTTACAGTTTTGGTCTGATTTCAGTATAACTTGGCAAGCAAGTAGACTACACTAAGATACATAATTCTTTATATTGATTTTCTGATTTTGATGAACATTGTTGCCATGTTTACTAAAAATAGAAATTTCCTTGAAATAACTTCAAAATGCTACCCCTACAGTTTTGGTCTGATTTTAGTATTACTTAGCTCACAAGTAAACTACACTAAGATACATTATTCTCTGTACCAGTTTCGGATTTTGATGAACAGTGTTGCCATGGTTACTAAAAATAGAAATTTCCTTGAAATACCTTCAAAATGCTACTCCTCCTACAGTTTTGGTCTAATTTTAGTATAACTTAGCACACAATTAGACTACACTAAGATACATAATTCTCTGTACCAGTTTTGGATTTCAATGAACGGTGTTGCCATGGTTACTAAAAGTAGAAATTTCTTGAAATACTTTCAAAACGCTACTCCTCCTACATTTTTTGTCTGATTTCAGTATAATGTGGCATACAAGTAGACTACAGAGATACATAATTGGTGTTATTGTTTTTTGATTTTTGTTGAATGATGTTGCCATGGTTACTTAAATCAAAATTTCTGTAAAATTGTTTTAAAAGGCTACTCCTCCTACAGTTTTAGTCTGATATAATAATAAATCTTGCCACAAAAGAGACTAAACCAAAGATCATTATTCTGTTTATTGCAGTTGCAAAGTTTCAAGTCAAAGTGCTACTTTTATCTTCCTTTATAAATACAACCAGTAGAGCTACAGTCTCATCAGAGACTTCTGGTTTTTTTTATTTTGTATCATCTGTCCTTAAGGAAGAAATTTTACTCACAGAGTTCAATATACATGGCATTTGTAGATAAACCAAACCATTCTCATATCTAGAAATTCTGTTCTTAATACAGATACTTTATGTTGAGATGTGTAATATGAATTATTGGCCATTTTTCATTACTTTTCTATAGGCTTAGAGGAACTTACACTCACTGGACCAAACATCAAAGTTGAAAAAGACAAGACCATATCACAAAGAGTTGACAAAATGAAAAACATAATTTTCCCCATTTTCCCCAAAGACAGAACGTATCATCTTGTGATTACAAAGTGTAAAGCCTCCACAAAAAATTGTACACTCGGTAAGCTTTAAGAAAAATAATGATTCAGTTTTCGTGGAAAGTCGAAAGTACATAAAGAAGACCCAAAGATAAATCCTGACCTAGATATTGTGATCTTTAAAGAGACGAAATGAAATGTTAATTTGATATTTCTACATTGCTATTATCATTTGTGTATTCTAAAGTGGCACATGTCCTCAAAAATCTTTTATTTAAAAAATGAAGTCCCATTTTTTTCTATTTTAGACACATTCGGCAATTTGGAAGATGACGATATCCTACGTCTTTTGCTGTTTGGTGTTCTTTTAAGTGAAGGACAAAGGATAAAATGGAATAACGAAGCAAACATGAAATTATTGGATGACATAAGGAAACTGATGAAGCACAGGGAACGAATATCAATCACTGATTATAAGGCAGTCGCTAGTAAATTATCAGGCTCAAGTGTACAAGTTGATGATGAAGGAATATCTTTTATGAAGGAAGATATGGAAATGCAAACAATGTGGGCTCTTATGCAAAATCACAATACAAAAGGAACTATTACTTGGTTGTTTGAGCAACAGAAAAGAGACGTTGTTCTGAAATATTTAAGAACACCTGATTATGAAATGCTAAAAGATGAGACCTGCGTTGTCCTTCCCGACATGTTATGTGACGACTTCAGGGAATTTCTCATTCAGCAATACATACAAGAATATGGTGTAGGACAGATGTGTGAAGAGCACAGATTGGAGCTCCTGGAAATGAAAAAAGAAGGATGTGAGTTTCGTTGGTAGATTATTTTATATAGCAGGTAGCGCACTGTCACCAAAGAACAAATTACTTTATTTGGTATATCTTCTCAAAAATGTCATTTTTTAAATTCATAGTCTGCCATGTTTGCCCAGAAAAACTGACTAAATTTAACTATTTCATATCCAGTTGATATTTTGTTACATTATAGTTTATACAACTCTTTTCCCAAATCAGAATTACATAGTAATACGTTGAAATAGTACATTTTCTTGAGTTTGTTTTCAAATACACTTTTTTTATTTTCAGATGTATTCAGACAAAAACAAAGTACTCTTTCACAGTGCGTTGTTTATTACACGTTTTTTGCTGGAGACAAAGCGCCTGATTGTTTAAGGAAGTATTTCAGATCTTCTGGATATGAGTTTAAGGAAACTGAACTGTGTATTTGCCTCCCATTAGAGTATAATACAGATCTAATCAAAAGAATGGATATAGATATTCTAACTCATAAAACTATGAGTGATACAAGAATCCACGCAGATATTAGCAACATGTGTAAGTATTAATAAGTAGTTAATATCACCAAATTAGCTTGCATGAAACCTAAAATAATTAAATCAGGTTCTTTACATTATTTAATACCTTTTCCTATACTGATATGATATTTCCATAAGGGACATTGCATTTGACAATGTTATGAGATTTCAAATACCTTCCCATTAATAAAAATGATTATATGAAATTGTAATATTTTTTTCTATAATTCTTCTGTACATGTACCCATTTTACTATATGTAAAATTTATTTCATCGAACAATTAATTTGCAAGATCAGTTATTAGCAGGGTCTTTCCGGTCGTCATACATGTTTCTAGGTTGACTACTATTTCATATATTTTTTGTTCATATTTTGTGACCTGATGACATCAAATTTGGTAAAACAAATCCTGATAAAATTAATTTGAAATCAGATACAGTGTTTGAATAAGTATGTCCTAGCTGTTAAATTGATAATTGACAATTCGTTCATTGTTAGAGATGCAGACGGCATATTAATTATGATATTTTGGTGGGTTTTTTTTAACTTCTTAGTGCATATCCCGGAGGAAGTTATGTCATGGAACCTTGATCAAAGGCAAAGATTTGTTAAACATTTTAAAGATGGTAACATTGAAATGTACCGAGCTCGTGGAATGATAGTTGGGTGTGCGGGGGCAGGAAAGACAACTCTTCTCAGACGTTTACAACGCCGAGACAGGAACGACCTTCAGAAAGAGACGAAAACAACCATAGGTCTTGAAGTTCATGACAATATATTTCTGATTGACTCAGATACACTTGAAGGTAATCTAATCTTCCGTGAGGTGTTCAAGTCTTTCTTATAAAGGAGTTAATTAAGTAGTTTATCTGAGAAAAAACGTATCTTAAAAGAGTATATCAGGTTTTAATTATAATTTTAGATTACATTGCTGATGATGACCAGCATCAACACCACAAGGAAAACCCTCCCGTCAATTTGCACGTGGACAGGAAGCTATTAAGTATGACGGACTTTGCTGGACAAGTGGCCTACTATGCTTGTCATCAGATTTACCTTTCTAGGAGAGCCTTTTACATACTGGTCGTCGACATGTCCAAGGACTTAAAGGATGTTGCTTACCAAAAAGATCGCCATGACCCTATGGGATCTTTGTTTGAAAACTGGACATACGAAGGTGCGAGCCATTACTCGTATTAAAAGGAATGTTAACAAAATTGAATTTTGTTTCCAAATTTCTATCAACTATTAGTATATGGTACATTTACAGGCCAGAAAGAAATTTGGTTATATTCTAAGGAACAACCCTCATTTCACTGTTGAGGGCAAATTTAGATTCTTATTTCTGTTGAGATCGATACTCAAGACTAAAGACAGATAGGTCCGTCAATAGGGGATGCCTAAGTATCTCTTTACACCTAAGTAATTTTAAGGGGTTCGTGTTTTATACCCTTTTCACAGATTTGTATTGCTTGTGGATTTTTTAGATCGATCACTGTTCGTTATTTTCACTTGTTTTCATTATGTATGGATTACAGTTACTTTTCAGAGAAGGAATTTCAATTCGAAATTCTTTGACACGAATTAAACTTTTGATTTTGATTTTTTTTTTTATTTTATTTTTTTTTTGGGGGGGGGGGGGACTATACACATTATCTTTAAGGAACATTTATAACTTGGAAACATGCATATCTATTTAATTACATGTACAATTACACAATACATTTCCACAACGCATTTTGTCATGTTACGATCTTTACAAGCAGTGAACAATGGAGACAATATACATGCTATAGTGTAAAATTCTTAAATATAGCCCACTATCTCTCCCTCGGGGCCAAATCTCAAGGTCACTCTTCTTTCTAATTACATGTATTATGAATTTTAGCCCTATTTTTGATTTATATGATCGAATATTCTCATATATATGTGCTTATTCTTCACTTCAATTTCTATCTCTAAAACTAACGGTAAAAGAAAAGGAAAACTATCACGTATATATCTTCAAATAAAAATAACAAACCAGAATCACTTTCTGGACAATGACAAATAATGCTGTTTATTGTTAACTTTCCATACAACAGAAAATGTTTTCTCTTTTGACAGATTATTTTGTGTTTTGGCTTCGGTCAATTAAAACGTACTGTGACGACGAGAAGATGGAAGAGAAATACGGCGATAAGGCTGAACCCAATCCAGTCATCCTCATTGCGTCCCATCACGACCGTCTGAAGGTGAAACTAAATGTTTACAAACCTCAGTTTTGTAGTTAATTTCCTGAAAGCAGTATGGGCTATAACTGACGGTACCAAGGTATAATTGGCATGGCCGTAGGAACCGGGGGGGGGGGGGGGGCACGGGGGGCCGTGCCCCCCCCCCCAATAATTTTTCCGATGTATAAATTACTATAGAAAACATTGAGCTATGTGCTTGTGCCCCCTCAATAATAACGTCTGATGACCTTTTTTTTTTTTTTGCTTGTCAAGGAATTTTGGAAGTTGATAGTGCCCCCTCAACTAGAAAATGTATGGTTGTGCCCCCTCAAAGTGAATTTGCTTCCTACGGGCCTGATTGGAGGAAATACAAATGATATGCATTCGCTTTTTTTTTTCATTTATATAATATTTTAGGCTTGACAGTTTGCATCTAAAACTTTTAAATCAGTAATAAAAATGTACGAACTGAAATACTGCATGTTTGCCAGGCACTATCTCAATATTCAGTGGCAAAAGGGCTATTACTTCGGAAGCTTTAATTGCGCATTTAAAGATGTTATAAAAATTGATGTTAACAAGATATCAAAATGTATCAGTTGTTTATTGTTGGATTTATCTTTTAGATTTAGTATATAACATTGTTTTGAATTGATAGTAATTCATAAAATGTTTAAAAAAAAAAATCACAAAAACAGCTAAAGCAGCGGTGCTTACTTTTGATTGCATCTTCGTTGGACTTAAAAATATTAGCATCAGGCTTACAATCGGATATCTTCGTTTCTTGTTCCTAGAGATAATGAAGGCAATGGTCATTTTAAAAAAAGTTCACAGCAGGAATGCAATTTGACAGCTTACCAAAAATCTTCATCAGCTCAAATATTTTTTTGCCAAAGCACGATAATTCTTTGATAATGGACTTCAAATATGCAAAGATGAAATGTACTGCACCCATTTTCTTATCAATTTTAAATTTTAAAAAGTGTTCAGACCAAAGGAGAAACATTTGAGATTAATTTCTCAATCATAGAACAATGCGATTTAGGTTGGATTGTCCAGTACTAAAATTTTCTACTTGGGCTCATTTCAATATGAAAACAAGATGTGTTTGTGAAACACTGATGCCCCCGTATGGCAACTTATAGCAAAGGTTAAACTTTCTCAAATGCAAATGAAATATGTTGGTACCTAAAGTAAGGTCTTGTCTCAAAAAAATACCTGTAAAATATGAAAGCCCTCGCAGCAACCATTGAATAGATATGGAAAAGGTTAAAGCTTTTCAAAAGTAGGTCAAATTTCAAGGTCAAAGTTAATGGATTACAATTGTTGGTATCCAAAGGAAGGTTTTGTCACAAGAAGTAGACATGTTAAATATAAAAACCATAGCACCAACTGTTCAAAAGTTATGGCCAAGGTTAAAGTTTTCTCAAAAGTAGGTAAAACTCCTAGGCCAAGGTAAAAGAGTCAAAGCTGTTGGTATCCAAAGGAAGGTCTTGTCACAAGGATTACATATGTGAAGTATGAAAGCCCTAGCACCCATTCTTCAGAAGTTATGGCCAAGGTTAAGTTCAGTCAAACTTTGCAAAACTGGGTCAAACTCGAAGTTCAATGTTATAAGGTCAAATATAATGATACCCAAAGAAAGGTGTTCTCGCAAGAAATACACATATGAAATATGAAAGCCATAACATCAACCAATCAAAACTTATGGGCAATGTTAAAGTTTTTGCGAACAAAGAGACAGTTAGACAGGGCAAAAACTACATAACTCCGAATCTTCGATAAGGAAGCACAATAATCCAGAAGTTTACTTGAGAAATCTCTGTCATCGGGTTCAAACTTACAAAATCAATGAGACAAAGCGGGATACACTCCACCAAACGTCTGTTTTTCTTCTGAATTGTCTTTTTGATTGTGTAAAATTAGAAATAAAACAAACCTTCATATTTAAAAATGTGTAGGTGACGATATCGAACACTGATTAATCTCATAAATCTATTATTTTAAGCAGAGAGAGCAAAACACTTCTATTAATGGATCTCATAATTCTTTCTACGACAAACTTGAAAATTGTTTGCCAAAAGAGCAGACATTAAAAGACCACATATCCAATGAGCGTTACTACGAAATTGAGTGTCCAGAGGGGAGTCTGCATGAGGAGCAAGCAAAGGCTATAGAAGACGTTAGAAAATGCATTGTTCAAACTGCAAAGAGTCTACCACACTGGGGTGAAAAAATACCTGTTCAATGGTCAACATTTGAACATTATGCACGTGCAAATAAATGCAAGAAAATTTTGGCCATGGTTGAATTAAAAACTATGGAGGAATTTAAGTCAATGGGTGAAAACGACATGGATGATATGCTTAGATTTTACCAAGAGATTGGACAGATTTTATACTTCTCAGATGAAGGTCTTCGAGAAAGCATTATACTGGATGTTCAGTGGTTTGTAGATGCATTTAAAAATATCATTACAGACCCAACTCATGCTCGCCCATTCTGCAAAAAGGTTAAGGACTGGGAGATATTCATGAAAACTGGCAGAATTTCCGATTCAACGCTTCACAAAGTTTGGAAGAAAAACAACAGTGAATCCTACATTTTTCAAAGGGACAAAATTATGCCATACATGGAAAAACTTGGCATTCTTGCCAAAATTCGAACACAATTGGTTAGGAAAAAAGAACATGAGAAGGTTCCATCTGAACATCAGACAGAATCAGTTTATTATATTCCTAGTATAAACAAAACCGACATTACAGAAATGTGCAAAGAAGTCATCAGCAAAGGAAACAAGACTCCCATTTTAGTTTTTTCTTTCAAAACCTACCTCCCGCATTTCTTCTTCTACAGACTCGTTGTTACATGTTTTTCTATGTGGGAGTCTTTAAGTGATGACCTTTTTTGTAAAAATCTCGCCTTTTATAAAGAAAAGGGAGGGGATAGGAATATTGCTATTGGTGTTAACAAAACATCTATTCAACTTCAAGTATTTACACCGGGTGACAACATTGAGCTGACAGCAGACAAAACCAGGGAAATCAGAAAACACGTAGAAACCATGATTCAACAACTTGCCACGACTTTCCACCAGAAAGCTTTGTACGAAGTTGGATATGTGTGCAAGGATCTGGAGATAACGGAAGAGGACGAAGATTGTTTCCTCTCCGAGGAAGTCGTTAAAGAACTTGAAACCAATGAAAGATTATGTCCACGATATTATGAGATATATCACGGGGAACACAACATTGTGCGTGATAATCTATTACACTACTGGTATCAGGTATGAGTTATTGAATGGAAATTATCTTTTAATGTAAAGGAATATATGAACACATTGAATCACATTTCCATCGATGGAACCGTATTTTTAACTTTTATTTTTTCCATGCCAGTGAAAAGCAATTATATATATATATATATATATATATATATATATATATATATATATATATATATATATATATATATATATATATATATATATTAGGGATGGCAATCGAATACAGAATTGCTAATCGGTTAACCGCAAGACGTTCCGACCGATTAACCGGTTAATCGTATCAAAATACAAATTGTTTTAAAGTAGCTCCATGCGTATACTCAAAAAGACTAAAATAGACTATGGAAGTTAAAAGGCATTCCATTTGTCTAGATTCTTGATCATAAAACTACAGGTAAACATATATTTTTTTTTTCAATTTCAATAAACAAGAAAAATCAAGAAAACCATGAAACAAGTCTAAGAAATCATTGAAAATCATCCAGAGCACATGTCACACAAGTTCAGTCTGCATTGTCACCATAATCAAAACTATATCTGCATTTAACTGTAGCCCTTAATTTACAATGTTTGTTTCATAATTAAATTTAAAAAAAGATAATGAAACAACAAACATACAATTCACAGTGTTTAAAGTGATTCAATTATTATAAATACATCATTAAAGACTCACAGGACCGTCGAGGTAACGCCGTGGCGTGTACATAAACTGACCAATTACCCAAAAGTCTCAATCCGGAGAGTCATAATTACCTCCAAAACAGCTTAAATAGATTTGTTAAATGCTAGATTATCAACCTTTGTGAAGAGGTTTCTTTGTCGAAAATGAATTTTGAGAAAATCATGTTCAATTTTACAAACATTTTATTTTTTCCGACTAACCGATTGCATATTTTCTAACCGAATGCCATCGTTCCGACCGAGTAATCGGTTAACCGGTTTCAACTTGCCATCCTTTATATATATATATATATATATATATATATATATATATATATATATATATATATATATATATATATATATATATATATATATATATATATATATATATATTAAGCCCTCTTTCTTACAGGATAGTGATGACATCGATGAGTTACCTTAATGCAAATCATATAAACAGTACCTAATATTGGAAAAAGAAATTAATTTAAATTGTGTTCCATCTTCTTACATGTACTAAATGAAATGTAATTAGATGATAAATTAGTTTAAAAGGTGTTTGTGAGAAAGAAAACTTCAAGTTTTTTAAATAGGGTTTTTATTTGATTTCTTCTTTATAGGTATTACTCAGTATTATTTATGTTAAATTTTTCTTTTCTTAATCGTTATAATACAAATATTTACATTAATGAATCTCTTTATACGTATTCAAAATAATGTAAAAATATGTCCATCTAGTCGTATTAAGTCCGAGTAATTCTCTTTTTTAAATATCTAATTTTTTTTTTAAATTTCATTATCATGTAAACCAATTTGAATAAAGAAATAATTGGTGACTAGGAGAAAAAATATGAACCATTAGCATTATACACGTCCAGGGTATTGTTTTGTTGATAGGACATCATTTTTAAATCCGAATAGGCACATGTATTTATATGATTTATAATGGCACCACGTGATTATTTCCGACTTTGTTTGCATATTTATGAATGAAATCATTTTTCAAATAGCATGTACCTGTTGAAATACTTGTGAAAATGATAGATACCGGCTATGTGTAGTTACATTTTTAAGAAAAATTAAAAATACTCTTTGTCTGTATATGCATTACTCAACAAAATAGTCCAAGGTCTAGGTTTAATTCTGCTATTGATGACAGTTTTCAACACTATTTTTTATTGCTACATTGTGATCAGTGATGTTTGTGTAATAGATAAACAAGGACAAATAGTGAGTTATGTTATGATATTGAGTTTAGTTTTTAAACAAAATTATTTATTGCAGCACTTCCGGTGAGGTTTGTAAAGGATAAACAATGATCTCATTAAAAGACATAAATTTTGAATCTCAATGTAAGAAATGGCAGTCAGTGAGATTAATAAAAGTAAACTGTATAGTTGTTTTTATTTTGTTATTATTTTTTTTTTAAAAAATTCTTTTCGAGTTCCTAACCAAAGATAAAAAATAAGTTTTTTGGAGTTTGAAACATGGTGTTGGAAAAGTATGAAAAGTACAATATGATAAAAAAAACTGTTTACTTACTTGTATGAAATATGGAGATAATGAACAGTAATCAAGTTCAAAAGTCCATTGAAACGATACAAATAGGGAGCAGAACAAACACGGGCTTCTGAAAACCTATCAGAGGTGGAATCAGGTGCCATGGAGGAGTAAGCACCAAGCCGCGTGCTTATTGTCAAACGTCAGTCATCATTGGACTTAAAGACGTACAACACACTGGGGGAGATAACTCTTGTGATTTCAATTTAACTTGACGTCAAATTTGACGTTTATAATAAAGCGTCAAAATGACGACGGAATCGATCCCGACGTAATTATAAGAAAATGGGATTAGGGGCTTGATATGGTTTCTTTAGAAATACCAAATCGTATCCTTGATTATTTACGCTTTTGATTTAAAACCCGCCTCTCCTCCATAAAAAGTGAAGAAAAGAAAGATTTTGTCTTAAATTTCTTTAATTTTATATGAAACTCGTATCCGTGATCAATATTAGCACAACAACATTCTTTATCTTTTTATGATACTTTGCTTTCTTTTGTTACAGCTGGCTATGTAACATTCGCATTACCAGATCACGGGCCTATCTTCAAATTAAGAATTAGCAATATAAATACTGTTTTGTTCTCCTTTTAAGAAAAACAAATGCTTTACAACACGTTTTCAAAAGTTCACTGATCAAAAAGGAACAACTCTAAAGATGTGGGAGAGTTTCCCACTCCCCTAGTTGAGTTATTTCCTCCTGTTTGTCGAACAGTTATGAAGACATAATGAATTCTGATGAACTCGGGAACTGAAAACTATAATATATACTAAGTAAGTACCGAAAATGTAACAGAATTGTTTACTGAAATAGTCCGAATCACGAATATCTTGTATGCGACAAACTGGCCCTATCCGACCATCTAGATATATCACTGTCAACAATTTCAGTGCGCATTTCCTCGAATCAAAAAAAAGTTTTATACATGTATCACTGTGCATGAATTTTTTGACACATGAATTATTTAAAGATAGATGGAGAATTTACAGTTTTATAAATTGAAGTTAATGTAGACGAATACGAAATTTCCATTTTATCTATAGAAGCAACAGAATGATGCATACAAGAGGGGGGGGGGGTACTTTTAGTTTAGACCCCTCTCTTGTTTGAAATAAATAAGAAACAATGTATTCCATTTACCAGCCTGTTTACATAATAGAGGAGCTGAATTTTCAACATTGTGCTTTCACTTTTAATGAAAATTAAGATTAAAATTCAATGTAAGCTGAATTCATACGCAGGTATAAGATTAAATGCATGTCAGCCATGTGTATGGACTACATATTGAACACGTGAACATAAAATCCTTAGAGAATAAGTTTAACTCTTATTCTAGTTGTCAGAATTTTAATCTGCATGAATGAATTAATTAATTGGTACTTCAGGGATTTAAAAGACTAAATATATATCTTGAGGGTAACCTATGTTTCATCAAGCGCTAATGACTGCGTACAAAAAAGGGGGGGGGGTCGTCAAAAATTGCCCATGCATCTGCATTTCAATGAACTGAAAAGTTTTAAGAACTCTGACATATAATTTAAATAATTTTTTTAAAGCAAAAGATATTTTCTAGCTTGAAATTTTTCATGTGTATTTGTAGATCTAACAATGTTTTCGTCCCACGTCTGAAAGACGATTGAGAAACATGACTTATGGAGAAAAGGGGGGGGGGTGATTTTTCGCTATAAATTCAAAACGGCTCGTTTAAAAAAAATACAAAAAATTATCAAGATTACTTCTGTAACAAGTTACAGTTGACAGACAGACTAGCTGAAAATCAAGGATTGAAAATTTATTCTCCGCGTGAACAACCAAAGGAGGTAACTTTTGGAACTTCCTGTCCAAATACGACTCGAACGATTTTGTCCAAAAGGTGCATGCGCATTGTATATATATAGTCATGTATAATATATACAAAAATTAAACGACAGGAATTTTTTGGTGGTGGGTGTGTTGTACGTCCTTAATGATAGGTTGTATCGACAATTGAATTTGCGAAACGATGACTTTAAACGAGACTGCTGATATCCTTGTTTCATCAACTTGTTTGTCAATAGTTTGCCTCGTTTTAGAAGTTGTTTATAATTTGCATACAGTACTGAACTTCATCGTTATTTCTGAAACATTTGAGATAAGGGTGAATTAAAAAAAATTAAAAAATGACCGATTTATTATTTATTAACTTACACTAAATATACAGGCAATGAAAATAGATTTCCATGTCTCAGCATATGTCTTTAGATAGTGTCTAAATACCTGCCAAATATCTCGTTGATATCTCAATTAACAAAAAAGTTATGTCCAAAAATGATGCTAAAATTTTCAGGAGTGCAACACCTTTTCGTGACATTTTGAAATTTCAATATTTTTTGGAGATCTGTGAAATAAATAATAATGCTTTATGTTGAAAATAAAGACTTTCCTTATAATATTCAAAGTATTGAGCTTTAAATGTGGACTGTAGTAACTTTTTATTATTCAAGTTGTGGTCATGGCTGATGTTTAAAAAAATGTTATACCATGTCTGGAGTGCAGCAGAAAAAATGTAGTGTTGCCAAAAAACATCAATTGTAAAATTCAGAAAGAAAACTAAGACAAAAAAGAATTGTCGAAGTGTAAAACAATAACTGATATACATTTTAAAACTTAAAAATGTTATATAAATCACAAGCAGCATTAATGAGAGTCAAGTATATGTGCATACCCAAAAATGTCAGGAGTGCAACATTTGAAGTTTTGCTCCCAAGCATGAAAAAACTATTATCATTATATGATTTTCTGATTTTTATTTTGGAAAATAAAGACACAAAGAACATTTTTACCAAATAGATTTATCAATTACAGGATCTGTCTGTGCTTCAGATCCATATTTCTATGGTCAGGAGTGCAACACATTTTTTTAAAGATTCAAGTTGTGTGACGAAAAGACTTCTATTCATGCTTAGAAGTATTCATTAATTAATAATGATCTCTTTATATAATTTAATACTAAATTATTGACAGTTTTGTTATTGAAATCCTTCCTTTTTCAATTTTATCAATTCAGATGTGTTTTTATCTTTTTTGTGATTTTTTTAATGAATGTTAAAAATAAACACACTAAAACATTGTCATAAAATTCAAGTAATTCCTCCTCAACTTCACTGAAACAACAGAACAAGTTCTTATGTAATTTTCACTTCACAATTCTACTTTAAAGGCCCCAATGCTTTTGGTCAGGAGTGCAACAAATATGTTAAAATTATAAATTATCCAATAAGAATAAAAATAAAGAAAAAATGATGAGTAGAATTTTTCTGGTGGCTTACTGTGTTTGTCTTCTAAAGGATATTTATGCTTTAAAATATATTTTATCTTCTAAATATACATTTAAGCTAGTTTTCTGGCATAAATAGGGAATAATTCCAGATAAAATGTGAATTTTAAATACCTTCATCTGTTTTAATTATGAAGTATTGGACTATAAATATTGCACAATTTCATTACCACTTGATTTTGCCAACACTTTATGAATTTTTGCGTTATATGGTTTTAATTTTAAATTTTACTGCAGTCAGGAGTGCAACATAACTGCTTTATAATTACCAATGCTTTTTAACTATCTTTACTAAAAATAAGATGAAAAAAATGTTTGATACTATTTGATGTTCAAAACACTATCTCTATCAACAAATTACAGAAATTTTACAGTCAATTCAGGAAATAGTTTTCATCATTTCACATATATATTTTAAGTACAAGTAATATATGTTACACTTTGCAAATATTCATGTTTTAAGGTTTTCAAAATATGAAAAACATGCCGTAAACGATGAAAAATATCAAAACGGCAAATTGATTTACAAAGTAAGAATGGGTTATTGTGTGTTATAATTTTTAAAACAATGTTAAATAAAATACATATCAGATGTCAGGAGTGCAACACAATA